AGTGTTTTTTACGCCTCAACAGCTGCTGTCGCCGCAGCCATTCACTCCGACGCCGCAGTCGAACGTGGAGTCGTCGCCGTCGCCCATTCAGTCGCTTTCGCCACTCCCGCGGCAGCAGCTGCTTCATCAGTTCCTGTCGCCGACGCCTGCTCAGCAGCCACTGTCGCAGCACTCGTCGCAGGAACCTTCGCAGCACTCGTCGCACCTCAGCCCGGTCCACATGCTCCCGTCGTACAGCAGCAGCAATAAGACTCTCGGCGATCCCGCCGCCGTCGTCAAGAGCCCGGCGCAGCGAAGCATATCGCCAACGAGAGAGCGTCGCAGCAGCCTCGTTAACGACGCAACGCTCCCCTTTTCTCCGCTCTCGCAGCGCTCTCCGCCGCCGCATCTGCCGCCATCCACGGCGTGCTCTGCGGAGGACGGCGCCGTTTTCTGCCGGGAATACGCACCGCAACAAGCCGAGATGACAATTTCCGTTTTCTGTTCGTCCCCGTTTCCGTCACCAGCAGCACCAGGACCAATCTCCACCTCTGACCCCGTTACAAGAGAATGCAATTTAGGCACTGACGTGGACGGCACGGGTGCGTATTGCCGAATCCAAGGCGTCGCGCTACAGTGCCCCCGCTGCCTCGTCGCGCAAGGAGATAGCATCCTCCCAGTTGCATGGGTTTCGCGGTCCGACAGCAGATTAGTAGCTAATCTAAAGCGCTGGTGGGCGCTTCTTAACGACTGGGTAGAGACGCTAGGTCTCCGAGAGATGGCTGTCACAATGCTACAGGAGAAGCCGCAGATGCGCCACCAGAACCAACAGCATCATCAGCAGCAGCAGCACCAAAACCAGCAGCAGCAGCCGTTGCAGCATTGCAATCACGATCACCCGCAGCAGCAGCAGCCGATGCAGAAGCAGCAGCAGGCGCTGTCGCCGTCCAAGCTCCGCCTTCCCCTCGGCCTGCCGCCCCGCCCGCCCCGCCACTCCAAGGGCTCCGCGGGCGTCCTCCGCCGTTCCTTCCGCTCCGCGGGGTCACTTTCCGTCGCCGGGCTGCGATCCGCGGGCGTAGGGGGAGTATTCACGGGCGCGCGGGGAATGGGAGTGTGTCACAACGGGGAGGCGTACACGTCGCTGTTCCTGAGTCTGCTGCTGGGGTCGCTGTTCTGCGTGCTGCTGCTGATGCCAGGTACGCCTTGATGGGGTCCTTGCGACGGTGCTGTGTGGTGTTGTGCGGTGCTGTGCGTGGGCTGTACGGTGCTGTGCATGGGCTGTGCTGTGCTGTCTGTGTGCTGGGGTCGCTGTTCTGCGTGCTGCTGCTGATGCCAGGTACGCCTTAATGGGGTCCTTGCGACGGTGCTGTGTGGTGTTGTGCGGTGCTGTGCGTGGGCTGCTGTACGGTGCTGTGCATGGGCTGTGCTGTGCTGTCTGTGTGCTGGGGTCGCTGTTCTGCGTGCTGCTGCTGATGCCAGGTACGCCTTGATGGGGTCCTTGCGACGGTGCTGTGTGGTGTTGTGCGGTGCTGTGCGTGGGCTGTACGGCGCTGTGCATGGGCTGTGCTGTGCTGTCTGTGTGCTGGGGTCGCTGTTCTGCGTGCTGCTGCTGATGCCAGGTACGCCTTAATGGGGTCCTTGCAACGGTGCTGTGTGGTGTTGTGCGGTGCTGTGCGTGGGCTGTACGGTGCTGTGCTGTGTGTGCTGATGCCAGGTATGCCAGAGTCCTTGTGACGGTGATATGGGGGGTCGCTGTCCTGCGTGCTGCTGTTGCCTGGGGACCTTGTGGCGGTGGAGTGCTGTGCGTGCTGTGATGGTGCTGTGCATGTGGTGTGTAAGATAAACTTTTTGCATAAGGGTTGTCAAAAGTCCATTTCGCTATGCTGTGTGTTTACGGTATTTGCATATGGTATGTGTGTATCCACAGTAATTGTGTACTTTATATATTCGCAGAAATTTGCATGCTGTACCATTCCAGTGTCTTGTACATTCGATCTTTACACGTCTTCCATTTGATCTTTACTTAGTGCTCAAGTATTCTCCCCGCATCCCTATAACGCAACCCTCCTGCTCTCCTCCATTCTGCCCCCTCCTTGCTTGCTCCCTGCAGGTAAGGCTGTGCTGTAAGTATTTTGTGACCGTTGCTGGACTCTTGCTGTGATGGGCGTGGAAGTGGAAGGGGGGTGCAAGGAGCAAGTGAGGCCCAACAGGACACTGCAGACCCCCCTGTGTGGGAGGGTGTCGAGACACTGCCTTGCAGATCCGGGACTGTGGTAGGCGGTGCGGGAAAGGGTTTAGTGCCGTTGTTGGTGGAGGAATGGCTGGAACAAGAGCAATTCTGTAGAGAGCTGTGGACGAGGGAGGCTGAGAGAGGAAGAGAGGTCAAGGTAAGCACTCAATTGCAGACCAAGGGTCTTGGGCGCAGGATAGAGGAAAATGTCACGAGGGGCGACTGCGGAGGAGGCGGGGAGAGGCCGGCAGACGTTTACAGGGTTCTTGATTTAGGAAATTAGACAATGGGACGGCATTTCTTACCAATATTTTGAAGTTTATGATTAGTCCTGTAGGAGCCAAAGATGCTCTGTTCAATTTGGGGCTTCTTTGTCGTACGATAACTTAACACACAAGTCTTGATATGGTTAGACCTATGGTAGTGGTGTCTTTTATAGGATTTCCACTGTAAACCGCATATTATACAGTAGTATAAAATGTAACACATTGGCGCTGTTCTGCAGGCGTTAAATTGCCAGAAACTGGGTCCGCAGAATCTTCCTCGATAAGTAGGCTTCTGCCTATCAAGGTTTGGTAATAAGCGCGTTTCTGCCTAACCACATTTCTGCCTGCAGAACACCACTGATGTGGCACACCAATTTAACGTGGTGAAGGTTCCAAGATCGTGCATCGCCAGGCAAATCTCCGCACAACTTGTGCGCTCCCAATTCGGCCTCGAGAGCTAGCATCAGCCAGCGCACAAGTTATGCAGGGCAACAATTGTCAGAAACTAACGAGCAGGAATGATTGCATTGAGTAGGAAGGTGATACAAGTACTAGCCCTAATTTGAGTTGTACCCCATAAGGGCTACCCCCACTACAGCCTACACAACAACATAACAGTTTGACAACAATTTGAGAGATTGAGAGTTTGAGCGAGATTTCATAGCAACTTCTGCCTAGTAAATTGAGAGATTCGACGTTTGGTGCGGCGAGAAGCTACACGAAAGGACTAGGTCCATGCATTTAATGAGGAGGCAACAACGCCTACAGAACAACGCCATTGCATATATCTATTTGTACATGTGTGACGCTCATATGCAATTCTCGCATGTGGCCTTTTTTTTTTTTTTTTTTTTTTTTGGGTTGCGTGTGAAGTTTAGAACAAGAGAATGATTGAACTATGAAACAGTTGGGTACAAGAGCTAAACCTAATTGGGTTGTACCCCTTATGGGCTACCCCACTACAGCCTACACAGATGTATAAGCTATAATGTTCTGACACACCCCCATAGGCAAAGTGGGGGAGAACAAGAGGTCACAAGACCAGTCAAGCAAAGCAAAGCAAGCTCAGGGTGGATCACAAAGTCACCACACAGTCCGAGCACAAGAGCAAGGCCACAAGGCCAGTTCTTATGCAAGATCATATATATAAAGGTAAACAAGCAAGTGCAGGTATAGAAAGAGTACAGAACAAACAAGATCAAGACGTGAGCAAGTAAGGCCACGTAGGCACAAGACCTAGCAAAGTACAGAAGCGCTGATGATCACAAGGCGGAAGGGCATTGGTGAAGATATCAGCAGTGTTGGCCTCAGAGGCCACGTAGGTGAGGCGGAGCTGACCACGCTGTTGCAGCTCACGAGCCAGGAAGTAGCGGAGAGCAATGTGCTTCGTTCTGTGCTCCCGACACAAGGCCAGCATGGCCTTGTTGTCTACGTACAGAACTGGAGGAGAACGAGGCAGCTCTCCTAGGTCAGTCAGCAGGTAGGTGAGCCAGCGTAGCTCCTGTGCAGCCATGGCCCCTGCGTAGATCTCAGCCTCACAGCTGGGGCTGAGAACAGAAGACGAGCGGGTAGACCGCCACGAAACAGAGCCGGAGCCAAGGCTGAAGGTGTAACCCTGTGACGACCGCTGCAGAGCCTGGTCGTCAGCCCAAGAAGCGTCAGCGTGACCTGTGAGGACCACTCGACGTCGCCCTCCAAGCACTAGCCCCATGCCCGACGTACTGCACACGTAGCGCAACACCCCCCTCTTCGTTGCAGCCATGTGCTCTGGTCGGTGTCTCCCAGGAGCAACATAGCGTGCCAAGATGCTAAGAGGGTATGCAAGGTCAGGTCGTGTGCAGGTCATCAGGTACATGAGGCAGCCAACAAGCTCTAAGTACGGGCCACTCGACTCTACGGACTCATCCGAAGGCAGAGCTGAGAGCGAGTGGCGAGTAGATAGAGGAGTGGCCTGAGGCGAGGAGTACGTGAAGCCGAAGCGCTGAAGGTCCTGCTGCACCATGTGTGACTGAGTCAGGGTAATGGTGCACTGTGCTCTGTCCCGGGTGATCTGCAAGCCAAGGTAGCTGCGCAGTTCACCCAGGTCTGCGCACGTGTGTCTCTTCTGCAGCTCCGACTTCACGTGGGCGAGTCCAGCAATGTCAGTAGTGGCAAAGACAAAGTTGTGGACGTACACGAGGATGTAGAACGGCAGCAAAGAGGTGTCAGTGCGCAGAAACATCGACGGGTCGGCTGTAGAGGGAGCAAACCCAAGAGCCGCAAGTGTAGTCCTTAGTGTGTCGTGCCACTCACGGGGCGCCTGGCGGAGACCGTAGACTGGCCGCCGGAGGCTCCACTGGGTACCAGGAGGAAACGACCCAATGAAGCCAGGTGGGCGGCGCAGCCAGATCTCCTCGTGCAGGCTGCCCTGCAGGAAAGCTGTGCTAAAGTCAAGAGAGTGAAGCTCGTAGTCGCGCTGAGCGGCTATGTGCAGCAGCACCCGAAGAGTGGTCATCTTTGGGGTGGGAGAGAAGGTATGAAAGTAGTCAACTCCCTGCCGCTGACTGAAGCCTCGAGCCACGTAACGCGCCTTGAAGACAGGCGAAGACCCGGGCGGCCGCTTCACCCTGAAAATCCACATGCCACTGACGATGTTCGCCCCAGGTGGGGGAACCTCGTCGACGTAGGTGCCTGTGGACTTCCATGACTGCCACTGAGAGGAGTAGGGACCCTCGATCGCCTCAGCGTACGATCGAGGAGTCGGGATGTCTGGTGCATCCGGGTCTCCCTCAGGGGCAATCAGCGTGGACACGAGATGGGGCAAAGCAGCAGCAAAGCACTGGAACTCCTCCTGATTGTCCTCAAGGACGTCCGTGCTAAGAGCACACTCACCCCCGACGGACGGAGGACAGACAGAATCAGACTCAGCAACGAGACTGGCAGCGTAGTCTAGACGACAGCGAGCAGCGAAGTCGACAAGCTCAGCAACTAGGGCAGACGCAACAATGGACTCAAAGGAAGGGTCAGTGACAACTCTAGCAAGGAGACACGTGACCGAAGGACTAGCAGCACGAAGGGAGTCAGACTCCGGGTCAGCAAGAGTAGGAAGAGAGGACTCTGGAGGAGACGGCAACGGGACACGCAGGGGAGCAGTGGAAAGACGCAGCGCCATCTGGTGTGTGCCGGGGACTGCAGGAGGACGCGGACGCGCAGTACAACCACTAGTGCGAGCAGCACGAACAGGCGACGCAGGACGAGACGCGGGCGCACGACGCTCAGCAAGACCTCCAGTAGGACCAGTGTAGGGAGAAGGAGCAGGTAGGGGGGAGGCGGGCTGTAACTGTGACTGCGACTGGACAGGCTGTGGACACTTTAAGGAAGGAGCAGGACCAGGAGAGGGCGGGAGACCAAGAACCTGCTCCAGGAGCGGAACGAAGTACGGCCTCGGCCGCTTAGCGCCTCCAGAGCCAGCAAGGACGGCACCAGTACCCCCAGCGGCAGTACTAGCGCAAGCAGCACCTCCAGCTCCAACAGCGCCAACTCCAGCACCCTCAGAAGCACCAGCGCCAGCAGCACCGCCAGCGCCAACACCCCCAGCAGCTCCAGCTCCAGCACCACCAACTCCAGTAGGACCGTCAGCTCCAACAGCCTCAGCAGCACCCCCAGACGCATCAACGCCAGTAGAAACACCAGCGCCAACACCCCCAGCAGCTCCAGCTCCAGCAGCACTAGTACCGCCAGTAGCTCCAGCAGGACCAACTCCAGTAGCCCCAGCAGCACCCCCAGTCTCAGCAGCACGTCTCCAGCGGCGGGCAAACCACTCGCGCAGCTCCTGTGGAGAAAGTGGCTCCCGCCTCGACGAAGCACCGCCGGCGGCCACACGAACAGACCCAGCGCCCCTCGGCTCGGCACCCCCAGGCTCCGTACCTCCAGGCTCCGCACCCCCAGGCTCCGCACCCCCAGACCCAGCACCCCCAGGCTCAGCACCCCCAGACTCAGCACCCCCAGACTCCGCACCCCCAAGGTCAGCACCCCCAGTCTCAGCACCCCCAGATCCGGCACCCGCAGGCTCAGCACCTCTAGCAGCACCAGAGTCAACAGCTACCTCGATAGGCTTGACTGCGTCTTCCTGGGACACACCTGACGGGGCAGGACCCTGAGGGGGGAGGGGGTCTACCGGGGGAGGACCTGGTGCAAGGAAGAGCGGCGGCGGGGGGAGGGGCGCAGTGCGGTAGGGGAAGAGACGGTAGTAAGGCACCGACTCGTCAAAGACGACGTCTTGGGAGGACAGAACACGGCGCGAGGTGGGGTGGTAAAACTGCCACCCAGGCGCGTCAGGGGGGAAGCCAAAGAAGACGCAGGGAACAGCACGGGGGGACAGCTTGTCCGCAGACAAGTGGCGGACAAACGCCCGAGATCCCCAGACCCGAAACGCAGACGCATCTCCAACCTTCCCGGTCCACCGCAAGGCGGGGGAGGTCTCTGGCAAGGAGACCCGGGGCTGAAGGTTGAGCTGATGCCCGGCGTACTGAACCGCAAACGGCCACAGAAAATGGGGGGCAGCCGTATGCATCATGGACGTACGAGCGACGTCCATGACCATGCCAATGCGGCGCTCAGCAATCCCATTTTGCTGTGGAGAGGCCGGAAGCGTGAAGGTCTGGCGGATGCCCTGTGCACGACAGAAGGCTCCCAGACGGGCAGAGGAAAACTCCCCGCCTCTGTCTGAGTGCAGACGCAGAACAGGAAAGTCCGAGCCGAAACTCTCTCTGAGCTGGAGACGAGCTGCGCGGATCCAGTCGATCAACATCTCAGTGACGTCACCCTTGCTGCGCAAGGGGAAGACTGTGGTGTAACGCGAGTAGTCGTCAACCACCAACAGGAAGTAACGCTCGTGCCCCTGTCCACGGACGCGGACAGGGCCCCACACGTTTATGTGGAGGGTCTGTAGCGGAGCCTCTGTCGGAAGAAACTCGGAGGAGTGAGGGGCGGCGCGCTGTCGCCCCTCGACGCAGGGGACGCAGGTAGGGCCAGGCCCCAGAGGTAGGGGAGGGAGAGATCGAGGGAGACCAGAGACAAGGACACGGGAGGCCATGCCTCGGAGACGAGGTAGGGAGGGGTGACCAAGGCGTTGGTGCCAGAGGAGAGTCTGGTGGGACAGGAGACGACACGAGCAGGGAGCAGACTCAGGACCAGACCTGGACGCTGCAGCAAACACCTGACTCGACGCAGCTACCTGGCCAAACTCAGCAGCCGGAGGAGACTCATTAGTAAGGGTGTACAGGCTCGACCCTGGCCGACGGGTGAACGTGGCCAAGTGTCGGCCTGTCCGAGCACACGTGCAGTGGGTCACTCGCTGACTCGCAGGAGTGAACTGGTCAACCCCCCTATCCTGTAGGTCCGCTCCACTCACCAAGTTCGTAGAGAAAGAGGGGAGGTAAAGACCAGACAGGGTGCCAGAGGGGGCTGCCGGGCACGGTAAGACAGTGGAGAAGCTAGCAAGGACAGGACCCCCAGAGGGGTCTGCTAGGGAGACTGCAACCGGCCGACTGAGCGGCGTAAGAGTGGTGCGGTCTCGAAAGAAGGAGCGGGACGCACCCGAGTCAAGGGTGAAGGTGTGGAAGGCCTGAGCCGACGTAGTACCTGAGAGAGCAGACTCACCAGCACCTGGGGCAGCAGACGCACTGGCACCTGGGGCAGCAGACGCACTGGCACCTGGGGCAGCAGGCGCACTAGCACCTAGAGCAGCAGCCTCACCAGCACCTAGAGCAGTGGCCTCAATGCCCGGGTCAGGCGGTACACACAGGTAACAGTCACCCTCAACACTAGTAGTCACAGAATACATGGCAGCAAGGATAGCATCATAGTCAAGATCAAAGACGGCAACCCCCGCCCTAGTTAGATCTCCCCAGTGAGGGATCTCTGACGCCTCAGGGAACTGGCGACGCCACGCGTCCGTCAGGCGACCGAAGCAGCGCTGGGTGGAGTGCGGGCCCCCGCACTGCTCACCAGCTCGGTCGCCGGTACGGAGGACGTAAGTGCAGGGACCAAAACCCCCACCGCGCTGACGCGCAGTGTACCACTCACGAAGCTGCTGAGGGGACAGGGTCACACCACTTCGCTGCTGCTGGCGCGGACCACCACCTGAGCCACTCCTCTGCGCAGAGTCGCGACCCGCTCCACCACCGCCGCTGCCGCCTCCGCCGCCTCCTCCACCTCCGCCTCCTCCGCCACCTCCGCCGCCTCCGCTCCCTCCGCCACCACCCCCGCCTCCGCCGCCTCCACTGCTGCCACCGCCACCGCCACCCCCGGCACCACTCCCACCACCACCCCCACTCCCTCCACTGCCTCCACCACCACCTCCACCGCCCCCGCCAGCCCCTCCAGCGCCCTTGCCCCCCTTGCCCTTGCCGGTGCGGCGTCTCCCGCTCGGGGCAGACGCAGCGCCGACCGACTCGAAACCAACGAGGTCGGCCGCAGCAGCAGAGGCAACAGAGGGCAAGAGGGGGGAGGGAGAACACCCCTCAAAGACGGGGGTGCGAGGGTCACCACGAGAGGCTCCTACATCGACTATACTCTTCTCTGCTGCTAGGAGGGCCTTCTCGAGGAGGTCAACGGTGAGAGTGGTGGGACAAACTTAGAGGAAGTGGTCCCTGACTACGCGGTGAGAGTCAGGGAGCCGGGTGACTATGTAGTAGAGGGTGATGTACATGGGGGGGGGGTTCTTGGCGCAGAACTCAGCAGGAAACGCAGCGCGGTAGCGAGTGTCACTAGTGCGGAGGTGCGTAATGAGGTTAGCGATTGTGGGAAACGCAGCAAGGTCAGGGAAGAGGTATGGTAGCATGAGGCGGCTCAGTGCAGCAGTGGCAGGGGAAGAGTAGCGTGCAACTACAGCGTCATACAAGGTCAGAGCACTGTTGTACTGGCTAAAGTGTGCACGCTCAGTGGTCGGTAAGTGGCGGCGCACAGCAAGGCGAGTAGAAGCATCGCGCGTGGCCCACTGTGAGCGAACAGTGGCGTCAGCATCAGCAGTAGGGGCAGGAGAGGCACCAAAAGTGAGGTCAAACAGGGAGAGACCGTCTGCCCTATCGCATAGTAGGAAAAGCTGCAGATCATCTACCCAAACCTCAAAGTCAACTGCCCGACCCTCAGCGTCAAAGGTGAGAACACTAGGGGTGGCCATGACAGCAGTAGACAGGCAGTGAGTACAGTGGGGTAGGGCAGTGCAGTGGCAGAGACGCTGCTCTTACCAAGTATTGAGGCGGACCTGGGTAGGCCGACAGGCGGCGGCGCCTCGGCTGCAGTGCGGCTCGGCGGCTCGGCGGCTCGGCGGCAAAACGCGGCTCGTCGGCTCGGCGGCAAAGGCGGCTCGGCGGCAAAGGCGGCTCGGCGGCTCGGTAGCACAGGCGGCTCGGCGGCTCAGCGGCTCAGTGGCTCGGCTGCGCAGCGGCTCGGCAGCTCGGCAGCAAAGGCGGCTCTGCGGGGCCACTGAAGGGCGGCGACGGGGCCGCTGAAAGGGCGGCGACGGGGCCGCGGAAGGGCGGCGACGGGGCCGCTGGAGGGCGGCGACGGGGCCGCAGGTAGGGGCGGCGACGGGGCCGCTGAAAGGGCGGCGACAAGGCCGCGGAAGGGCGGCGACGGGGCCGCTGAAAGGCGGCGACGGGGCCGCTGAAGGGCGGCGACGAGGCCGCTGAAAGGGCGGCGACGGGGCCGCGGAAGGGCGGCGACAGGGCCGCTGAAAGGGCGGCGACAGGGCCGCGGAAGGGGTGGGCGGCGACGGGGCCGCTGAAAGGGCGGCGACGGGGCCGCGGAAGGGCGGCGACGGGGCCGCTGAAGGGCGGCGACGGGGCCGCAGGTAGGGGCGGCGACAGGGCCGCGGAAGGGCGGCGACGGGGCCGTTGAAAGGCGGCAACGGGGCCGCTGAAGGGCGGCGACGGGGCCGCTGAAAGGGCGGCGACGGGGCCGCGGAAGGGCGGCAACGGGGCCGCTGAAGGGCAGCGACGGGGCCGTAGGTAGGGGCGGCGACGGGGCCGCTGAAGGGCGGCGACGGGGCCGCTGAAAGGCGGCGACGGGGCCGCGGAAGGGCGGCAACGGGGCCGCTGAAGGGTGGCGACGGGGCCGCTTAAAGGGCGGCGCAACGAGGCCGCAGGGGCGGCGCGACTGGGCCGCAAG